ATCTGCCGTCAATCTGATTATTGTTCTTTTATAGATAATCTGGTTTTCTCTCTGCTTATTATATAACATTGTTTCTGTATCCTTGATGTTGTGTAGTTTTACTATGTTGAGTTTGGATGTGGGTTTATTTTTATTTATGCTTTTGGTACGTGGAGGGCATTTTCGATATGAAACATCATGTCTTTCTTCAATGCTGGAAAGTTTCAGTTGGTACTTTTCCAAATGTTGTGAAAAACAAAACATGGCAAGTACAAATGGAAGTAACGGTTTATAAATTGTACCCACTCTTAATTATTGTAGATGCAAATAAACGTGCTGTAGACTTAGAGACTTTAAGTATTCTGTACCCACAAAAGAAAGCGTCTGGACACGCTATCCTCACGCCATAAAAACCTCGGTTTTTGTGATCAGGGCGGCAGTCCATGTTGTCGTATTTGCACTACGTGGTTTATTAATAAAACTGAAAGTGATTCTGACGTTTTCTAAACCTAAAACCTAAGTGGGACTTTTCTTTCTCCTCTCCTCCTTCTAGACGCCATTTTCCTGTATTCTTCCTTACTTGTACATGGTTCAGATGGAAAATCTTTATGTTCTGTTCTGGAATCACACGTAAACCTTTCATGGTCTCTCTGTGGGATAATTCTAAACATTAACAATCCACATGTGGGGTTTACATGATTATGACTAAGACATTATTCCGTGCTGAGCTGCGATAGCTGTGATGACGGTTCCTCACTGTAGCACACCAGACTTTCCAAAGACGGCCTCGACATCCCCTGGCCTCCCCCAGGCCCTTCTCACCGTGTGGTTTGGGGGCTTTCCCCCATTAAGTCTGGGTGGGCAGGTGCTTCACCGTGTTCGTAGAACGCGAGCCCTCCGAATCCCCGCCGTAGACCGAACTGTGCCGCCCACCTCCTCCTTTCCGTACGCGGAAGCCCTAACTCTCGGTGTGACGGTATCTGGGGACGGGGCCTTCAAGGAGGTAAAGGGAAATGAGGTCATGTGGGTGGAGCCCTGACACGACGGGATTAGTGCCCTTACAAGGAGACACCTCTCTGCAGAAGGGCACTGTCCCCCACGTGGGGACAGTGAGAAGGCACCGTCTGCACATCAGGAAGAGGGCCTCACGGGAACCGAATCCACTTGCACTGGATCTTGGACTCCCAGCCTTCAGAACTGTGAGAGGGTTCTCTTGTCAAAGCCACCCAGGCTGGTGTTTGTCACGGCACCCTGAGCAGACTAATGCAACCTCCTCAGCCCCCGCCCACTCCACCGTGCCGTGAGGAAGCTCAAGCAGCCGTGGAGAGGAACTGAGGCCCCTGCATGGGCCCCCAGCCTCAGCCAGCATTGACGTGACAGTCACATGCGTGAGTCACCTTGAAAGTGGATCCTCCGGCCCCTGGATGAGCTGCCCTGACACCACGTGGAGAAGTGAGCTGTCCCCATCAAGATCTGTCCACATTGCAGATTCATGAGCAAAATAATTTATCGTTGTTTTTGGCCACTGAGCTTTGGAGTCATTTGTTATGCAGCAATAGGTAACTGATATTTTTGCCTGTGAACTTTCTGTTTCCCCAAGCACTGCAAATCTGAAAACGTATGCGCTGTATCCTTGCACTCGGCAACCATTCTGTGTTGATAACACTTTACCTCCAAACTTCGGATGTGTTTCTCCACCGTCTCCTAGCACCCGGTGCTGCTAGGGAGAAGTGACGCCCTCTCATGCTCAGTCCTGGAGGAGAGTTTTGTGTTTTCCTTGGGAAACTTTTAGGGTCTTCCACTGGTCTCTGCTCTCCTGCTGTGTTGCACCAACGTGTCCTGCTGCGGGTCCTTCGCCTTTCACCCTGTAGGGCGCTCGGTGCACCCTTTTACCCAGAGTTGAGGACACTGAAACTCCGGGAAATGTAAGATTTTCTTAGTGCTTTCTGCCCCTCTGGAATTCCCATTAGTTTGATACTGGACTTGAACTTCTAAGCTTTTATCTTTTCTTACTTATTTCCTGAGTTCCTTATCTTCCAACTAAACTTTTCTTAAAGCAAGTGATTTTCATCTTCCCTGGTTCTGTGGGTCGACTGGGTCCAGCCGAGAGGCTCCTCACGTAGCTGCAGAGACACAGCAGCTGGTCTGCTGCCGCCCGTGCCTGGCGCGGGGGAGGCTGCGCAGCTCAGGGCCGCTTGTGCGTCTTCACACGCGTCTCTCTCTTAGGTTGGCTTCTTCGAAAGTGAGCATTCCAAGAGCATTTGACTTAAAATAATTTTAATCTATCATAATTTTATCTCCTGAAAGCTTTTTCTTGGGCTGTTTCTTGAATCATCGTTACTGTTTTACGAGTGGAGGATATTCTCCAGTCCCTCTGAACCTAAGACAGGGTTGGATGCTCTTCGTTTCTATTTCCTGTCTCTTCTCAGGTCATCTTTTAAATTTTTGTTCATGTGTTGGAAGTCTTCCCAAATACCTAATGATCCTTAGCAGTCTATTTAAATCTAAGAAAGAGGTGACAGGAAGCTAGTAGGGAGTTTGCGTTCAGGAGTGGGACTTGTCACATGCTGGGCTTTGCTGTAGAAAGACTGGGTAGGAAGCCCATTGTTAGGCCAGCCTAAAGCCAACCCTACAGAGGGGTCTTTTTCTGGAACATTCAATACTCTACAGGTGACTCTCCCATGACTCATATGCTGGGCCACCCTGGCAGCTGTGACATCCGTGTGTGTTTGACGGGATGGAGGGATGGGAGACTCTGTCCCCGTGTCTCCACCAGCCCTCCCCTTGGCCCCTCACCTTTCCAGGGCTCTGTACCCAACAGAGGGAGCTCGAGGCTAAGGCTTCCTGGCCACGCTTCATTGTTACCAAGCTTTGCCTCAGGACATTATGACACTGTCACCTGCTGGCCTAGCCCTTCCTCACCCGCTCCCTACCAGTTACCAGTAGGGAGAGGGGAACCAGCTCAGGTGCCCAATCTATCATTTTAGACCAGTTCTAATCCAGATGGTGCCATGTTGTCCCCTTTCTGGGCTTCATTTCCTCTTCCGTCCAACAAGCAGGTGGCTTAGGTGAGCTACAGTGCTCCAGGGCTTGGCTGACTTAGTCCTGACCCAGGCTGATACAAAGTCCAACCCAGCTTCTCTTGACTACTTAGAGTCTCACCTTTGCCCATGTGACTCACCCGGGTCCTCCGTGGCATAGTACAAACTGGGCGCAGGAGGCCTGGCTTTGCCATTTTCTAATGACTGTGGCCTTTGGTGTGTCCCTCTACCTCTCCGAACCTGTTTCCCCATCAGTAAAATGCATCTAATTACCCCTGCCTGCCTTGGAGGGCTTTTGTAGTCACCGAGTGACGGCATGTGAGGGTGACCTGCCCAGGGCAGCCCAAAATCAGGGTTTAATCATGGGAATGCCCTGTTCCCAGCCAAGGCCAGCCTGTGCCAATAATAGAAACAGTGACTTTCTGAGCGCCTGCCAGGGGACAGGCTCTGCACACACTTCGTCCTTTTCACAACCCACAAGGAAAGTACCATTATCTGTATGTTCCCAAGGAAGAAACTGAGGAACCAGAGAAAAACCAAAATGGCATGGAAATTAAAAACAGAATTGAGGCCAGGCGCAAAGGCTTATGCCTATCATCCTAGCACTTTGGGAGGCTGAGACAGGAGGATCACTTGAGGCTAGGAGCTGGATCGAGACCCCATCTCTACAAAAAATAGAAAAATTAGCCACATGTCATGGTGAGTGCCTGTGGTCTCTGCTACTTGGGAGGCTGAGACAGGAGGATCGCTTGAGCTCAGGAGTTTGAGGTTGTGGTGAGCTATGATCAATGACACCATGGCATTCCAGCCCCGGATGACAGAGTGAGACCCTGTCTCAAACAAAGAAAACAAAAACAAACCCCTCCCCCCTGAACCAAAAACAAAGCAGAATTGAAAAGAAAAATTTTATATAAAAGTTGAAAGATAAAACTGAAGAATAATAGAAGTATAGAACGACAAAAAAAGAAACAGAAAATATGAGAAACAGGATGGGAAGGCTGGAAGGTCAGTGCAGGAAAGGATGTGGAGAAGTTCAAGCAGTTTGGCAAGACAGCGGTGAACAGATAATCAGCGGTGCACAGATGAAGGCTGCAGAATTCTTCCAGGTACTTTAAAGAAGTATAGAGATTTCTGATCACATGAACACCAGAGACGCAGTAGGCATTTATTAATATTCAAGTACATTAAGCGCCTGCATTACCTTCACGCGTTCACATGTTCACTCAACAAACATCAGTGAGTGCCTGCCACGTGCTGGCATGGCAGGGGCACAGCCCTGATTGCAGGAAGCCCCCCTTCTCCTGGGGAGACAGACACACAAAACCAAGCCGTGTGGAGTGTCGGGGCGATGAGATGGGGGCACGGCCTGGGAAGCCGAGCTGCTCGGAGGGCTCAGGGTGGTGCACGAGAAAATACGCACCAGAGCGCAGAAGAGCCGGAGTCCTGTTGAGGGCAGGGAGTGGGGCAGGCGTGCTGGGCCCGCACGGACACCGGACACCGAGGGCCTCAGGTGCGCGCAGAGTGGAGGACGGGCGGGGAGCCCTGCGGTGCCCGCGGAGTCACACCCCTGTCCCTCCTTGACTTCCCTGCGGCCAGCGACACGAGCGTCAGCCCAGGTGGGTCCCAGCACCGTGAGCGCAGGAGCTCTCACTATTGTCCCTTTACAGGTGAGGAAACCGAGGCAGGACAGGCTAACGGGCCGTGCCGGCGGCTTCTCCAAGGCCTGACGGCCCGTACGTGTGACCGGGGCGGGCCCACTGCGGACAGGGGTCACGGCGTGGCCAGACTGGGGGCATCTCGCACCCGAGAGGGGAAGGCTGGGAGGACGCTGCGGGGTCAGGCAGCGCAGCGCCGAGGAGACGCAGGAGACGTCGTCCCAGCCTCTGTGGGAGCCGGGCTCCGCGTCCCGGCGAGCCCCGCGGCGCGCATGCGCGCCATTACTCCGCCCGCCTGCCGCGAGGCCTGCCGGGACTTGTAGTCCAGCGCCGGCGGCGTCCCGCGCGGGGTGGGGCGGGACTCGGTGTCCCAGAGAGCCGCGCGCGGGGCCACGAAGCCGCGTCCGCCCTCGCCGCCGCCGCCGTCGCCGCCGTTCCGCGGGCTGGAAGGCCCGGGCGTCCCCGGGCGAACGGAGGCTGCGGGTGGGAGCCTTCGCGGGCGCTGCGGAGCGGGCCGGGGGAGGCCGGGATGGAGCCCCGCGGAGGTGGGCGCGCTGCCGGGCGGGCCGCGCCGGGGCGGTTGGGGCGGGCCGGGGAGGAAGCGGGCCCGAGGGGCCCGGGCGGCGGGCGCAGGCGGGGGGCGGTGGCGCAGGGGTCGCCCGGGGCCTCCCGTCCCCAGCCCGCCGCCCCGGAGCTCGGCCCCCGGTGGCCGAACGGGCGGCGAGCGGGCCTGCCGTCCCTCACAGTGGACTGACGCGAGCGGGCCGGTTCCGAGCCTCCCGCGGGACCTCGGCGCCTCCCGGGCCGCGGACGGATGGTGCGAGGGCGGCGCGGCCATGGCTCACCTCAGGGGATTCGCCACCCAGGTGAGGCTCGCCGTCCGCCCGCGCGTGCGCGCCCCGAGCCGGCGCGGCCCCGGAGCCAGGGCGGCGCGGGGAAGGTCCGTTTCGCGTCCCCGCCGGCCCGGCGCAGGGCCGCGCTCCCGCGTGCAGGGGCGTGGGGCGAGGGAAGGAGCAGCGGGGCAGGGCGAGGGCCTCGTGCTCGTGGCCTTTTGTGTGGCAGAAACTCACGGGCCTCTGAAAACGGAGCCGCAGGGTGGCCTTCTTTGTGCGAGGTCAGGGAAGGGACGCGAAGGGACACCTTACTCGGGGACAGCGTCGGCCGGACTGGGCCCCTCGGGGGCATCCTGGGGAACCGGGATCTGGCGTCGCAGGGACCGGGCAGGTCAGGTGCACGGGAGCCTGGGCCGTGCGGGGCAGGGGCGGAGGCGGTAGCGGGACCGGAGTGCGTGCGTGCGCTTTCGGCCAGGGGAGGTAGAGAAGCTGCTCTGCAGACCCTGTTTAACCCGGGCTGGGAGCCGCGCCTGGAAGATTCGAGTTAGGAATGTCTGTCTTCTTCGGTTAACTGGCTCTCGTAACAGCCAGCACGGACCACCTTGAAGTCCTGGCCTTGTGTGTTAACCGGCCAGCTCGGCGGGACCGTCTACAGCGGGCCCTGTCGGCGTTTCCCTGGAGCGGGCACCGGCCGCCTGGGCAGGAGGGCGAGGGCAGCCAGCCTCGGCGCTGAGTGGCTCGGCTTTTGTGTTTCAAAGCTAACGTGATCCGAAGGTGGTGGAGAAGGAGAGCAAGCACTCCGGCCGCTAGGTTTTCCTGCCTCCGGACCGGCGGTTTTGCTCTCCTTAATGCCTCGGCTGGGGATGGGCTGGGGGCCCACTGCTGCAAGGTGTCGAACTCACCTCTCAGGACGGAGTAGCCCTGCCTGCTCACTGCTGTGGCCTGAATTCTCGCGAGCTGGGTGTGCCGAAGGGCAGGAAGCACAGCCGTCTGCACGGGGGCAGGAACTGGAGTCAGGGCTCCTTGGAGGAAGCCAGACCAGCCTGGAAACCCGGAACACCGCGTGCAGCTGTTGGGCAGGGCATCCTGGACCAGCTACAGCCACAGATGGGAACTGGGGCTTGCTGACTGACGCTGACTTGAGCTAACAGATTTTTTTTTATTTGTTTTTGACGTTTTGTGTCTGGTGAATTATATGACTAAGGTACTGGGAGAAAAACCTGCCTCCAGCTTGTAAGAACTGCAGGAATAGCTCCTGTGAGTCACAGGATGAGAAATCAGAGCTGTGAGCTGCGCTGTCACTGTGCGTTGACGGTTCTTGGTCTGCTCAGGCCCCAGGGGAGGGAGTGCAGGGATGCTGGGGAAGGGACCCAAAGGTAAGACGTGCCCTTTGCCGTTTAGGGGCCCCTTTGTCCAGCCTGCACCACGAGAGACTCGACTTTGGACAGTATCAGGAAACCCAGTAGGGCTGTTGTTTACGCCTGAGATGTTGCCACGGTGTCCTGTGGCCTTGCCCGGCAGTCCCTTTGTGGGATGATGGGGGTGCTGCCCTGCAGCCTGTGCTCCTGCCGGAGACTTCTCCCTCCGCCTGGCTGGGGTCTTGACTGTCAGAGCCAGTCAAGCAGCATGAGTGATCAGAGCACCTCTGCTGTGCTAAAGAGAAGCCTGAAGCCCCCGGACTGGAAATCCACTTAAATTAACTTCACCAAGGTGGGGTTGTCCTCGCGAGGTCATCGTAGGGTCAGGAGCACAGCAAGAAGGGTTCCTGTCGTACTGTTTCTGCTCAGGCTGACCCACGGTGGTGGGCACCCAAAGAGCTTGGGATTTGGGTCCCACCCTCCCTGCCGAGCCCTGACTCTGGCTTAGGGGTCTGCTGTGTTCTCTTGCTCTGAGGCAGTGGAAGTCTGAGTGCCTGCCTGGGGGTTTCCCTTCTTCGGCTGTCGCGGTGGACCTGGCCTGGCCCCGGGCCCTGTGTGGAGAGCAGCGGGTGGGAGGACGTGTCATCGGCTGAGGCTTGAGGGTTGGGAATGGGGCCCCTGAGAGTAGAAGGGACAGAGGTGCTGGGTGATGCTGCCAGGCCGTGGCCCCGCCTCCCCTAGGCCCTCTCTTAGGCTACCTTAGAAAGCAGAGGACTTTGTCTTTAGAGTGACAGGAAGACATATTCTCAGGACACCAGGCCTGGAGTCACCAAGATGGCCCCTTTGAGGTGTCTCCCGGGGCTGTACCGGGGTGGAGTTGGGGCTGAGGCCAGGCCTGCCGGCTCAAGGTGGGTGGAGAGCCATCCCAGGGTGCCAGGTGAGGTTGGCGGGCTGAGCAAACGGCAGGAGGATCGGGTACGACCGCTGGGCTTGATGGAGGAGGGGCTGGCAGAAGCAGGCTGCTGCTTAGCCCTCATCCGGGATGGGACGGGACGGGCTGGTCCCCCACTGGGAAGTGGAGAAGGTGCCCACGGCAGGAGGTGATGTTTTAATGCAGTCCGCTTGCCAGTCTCGGCCTGTGGGCTGGTGCGCTCGTGACGAGAGGACACGTTGCGGGTTGGCTTTCCCTTCGGGGGTGGGGGGGTTCTGATCTTATCTGTGCCACCGTCCCCACCCTGCAAACAGCTGAGCAGGTGTGACTCCGTTAGGATGGAAGGTCTGCAGGAGGCAGTTGCAGCTCACCTTGGCTAGCGAGGCCTGCGGGACCCCAGGCAGTAGTCCGCGCTCTCCGGCCAAGTCCCTCTGCCTTGGCTTTGCGGGGCCCTAAGCACCCCTTGCTGTGTCCTCCACAAGCTTTAGGACTGGGCTGCCAGCTCTGGTGAGGGAGTGAGAAGGGTCACTTTTGGCTGAACTGGCTGCCTTGTCCTTACCTGGCCGAACCTCTGGGCTCAGCCAGGGCGTGTGGACACTGCAGCCAACCTGCTCTGGCTGCTGCACAGAGGCCGGCCACACCCCCCGGGCCTTGCCAAGCCAGCCTTGTGTGGAAGGATCAGGTGGCCTCCGTTGAGATGCTGCCCTGTCCCCTGCCAGGGCAGGCTCTGCGAGGCTCTCCTCCGAAGTTCCTGTCACCTCGAGGCCTGGCACTCAGAAGGCGGTTGGGCAGCTGCCTGTGTGTTGTCCTCACTCCTGGTCACAAACCCTGGAAAGCAGCTAATTGGCAGTTTCAGATTGAAGCGTAGTCTCTGGCTGGAACGATGTCCAGTTGGCCCCAACCTCTTTGCCTGGCCACGTTACGTTGGCATCAAGACGCTGTCACGGGGGCAGCCTCTTTGTCGGGAAGCACTTCCTGGCGGAGGTGAGACCCAGCAGGGCTTGGAAAACTCTGCCCGTGTCTGGACAGATGTGGGGCTCCTGCCCTCAGCCCTTGCACGGGCCCTGCTCAGGGTGGGCCTGGCGTGTGGTGGCTCGCTCTGCCCTTTGTCACCCTGGGCCTGTGCGGGCCACCCCTGGCATTTCTGAGAACGTGATTGGCCGGTGCTTGGAGTGGGGAGCACGGGGTTCTTGTGGGCGGGGGATGCCCAGGGGCTCTTTCCTGGGGTCGCGCTCCGTTGTTGCCAGAAGCCTGGGAACCTCTCAGCCCTGGTACCCCGAGGCAGCCGTGCTGAGAGGGCTGCCCAGAGTCAGCAGTGTGGGTCAAGGCCCAAGGACACAGCTCCTGCCAGCTTCGTCCTGCCACTGGGGCCCACTGTGCCGTGGCCATGCGCGCCTTCCACGCCCAGTGGCTCAGCCACCTGTCGGCCTTGTTTGTTAAAACTGAGGCCCCTGTGCGACAGCTTTCTGCGTCTGAGAAAGCATCAGTCTCAACTCAGTGCTGGGGTGAGGGTGTGGCTGTCGGGAGAGCTGATTTGGGGGTGAGGGAGGCCCTTTCTAAGGGGTGTGGCTTTCAGGAGTGTGGGAAAACTTGGTTGGCAGAGGCTGGGTTTTTTGTTTGTAATAGAGTTTATTAGAGCAGCTTCAGGTTTATAGAAAAATAAGTTCCTAAACACCCTCCACTCCCAGGGGCATTAGCCTGTTACTGATGTCTTGCGCTGGGGGGCGTGTCGTTAGCAGCTGACGGGACAGTGCCAGTGCTTTGTCATTGCCCGAGGCGCGTGGTGTAAGTCGGGGTTTGCTGAGGCACCCGGAACCCCGGCTTCTTTGGACTCCCTGGGGACGTCCTCCCTTGCGTGGAGAGTTAAGTTCGGGTATTCCGAGCAAAGAGCGGCTCAGCAAGAAACCAGAAGGAGTCGCGTGCACTCCCTGGGCTCCCCTTGCTGTGGGTCGCCCCCACCCCCGCAGGGCAGCCTGTGCTGTCCGGCACCGGTCCTGACCGGGCGCCGCCTGCCCTCTGTCCCGCCCGCTCCGCAGCACTCGCGAGTGGACCCCGAAGAGCTCTTCACCAAGCTCGACCGCATCGGCAAGGGCTCGTTCGGGGAGGTGTACAAGGGCATCGACAACCACACCAAGGAGGTGGTGGCCATCAAGATCATTGACCTGGAGGAGGCTGAGGACGAGATCGAGGACATCCAGCAAGAGATCACCGTGCTCAGCCAGTGCGACAGCCCCTATATCACCCGCTACTTCGGCTCCTACCTGAAGGTGCCTGTGGGGAGGTGGGGGCCTGCTTGCCCTGTGCCAGGCCGTCTCCTGCGTCTCCAGAGGGACACAGTGACGTGCCTGAGGACCCACGGCTGGGCAGGGTGGTGGGGAGGAGCAGGGTGCCACCGGGTGCGAGGGGTCCCTGGTCTGGAAGGGCAAGGGGTCCCTGACAGTTCAGCACGGACTCAGCTTCGTGGCAGAGCAGCAGCCCTGGCAGGCGGGGCGTGAGCGGGTCTGTCAGGGTCGGTCAGCTCTGAGCCGGCTGCAGGGACCCATTCGCCTGCCTGCAGTGCCTCCCGTGGCCGGGGCAGTCTCCGTGGATAGCTGCAAGGCCCTGCTCACAGCACTCGGGGGACCCCTGCAGGTGGAGCCCCAAGCCCCTGCTGGCAGTGGTCACCACAGGGGCCTACCCAGGGCCTGTGGGACTGGGTCAGAAGCCTGGTTTTTGATGGGTATTTATCGGTGAAGTGGACTCAGCCCCCGCCGTGGGTCTATCCACCAAGTGCCCATAGCAGGGGTGTGGCGGGAGGGGAGCCGGGGACAGGCCTGCTGGGCCCCATGTGGCTGAGCCCTGGCTGACTCCTCCCTGCTGGCAGTTGGGAGGGGCTGGCCCGTGACTCCCGTGCCTGGGCACGTCCCCTCCGCTCACTGCTGAGTGCTGATGGGTTTCTCTGGTTCCAGAGCACCAAGCTGTGGATTATCATGGAGTACCTGGGTGGCGGCTCCGCATTGGACCTGGTGAGTTGTCGGCCGCGGCAGTAGACACCTTGCTGTGGGGGTCATGTGACATCCCAGCACTCCCTCAGGCCACCTCTCCTTTGGTGTCTCAGCAGCGTGGGTGTTAGTTAGGAATCACCTGCCAAATGCAAGCTGCTCTTCACAGCTCTGCCTGTTGGTGCTCAAAGGGGTGCTGGTCTGTGCCCCGCAGACGGGCTGAGGAACGCCACTACCCCCACCCCCAGCCGACCTGGCGTCTGCAGCTTAGTTCTGTTTCCAGAGTGGTTCAGGGCACACAGAGCCCCAGGCTTGGGGGTGGGCTGGAGCTGAGGCCGCTGTCCCACCTTCCCGTGCAGCTTAAACCGGGCCCCCTGGAGGAGACCTACATCGCCACCATCCTGCGGGAGATTCTGAAAGGGCTGGATTATCTGCACTCGGAACGCAAGATCCACCGGGACATCAAAGGTCCTGCCCGGGTGGGCACGGCCCCTGTCCTGAGCCCCACTGACCCTGGAACGGCCGGGCCTGTCAGGGCTGAGTGGATGGTGGTGTCTGAGGTCTGGGGTGGGGGAACCCTGCGGCTACCCAGAGTCAGTGGTTCTGTCTTGCCCCGTTTCCCGAAGATGCTGCCCGTAACTGAATTTCCCCACACGCTGCAGAAACCGACTGCACCTAGAGCAGGAAGGGCTCAGACTGAAGCCGTAACTGCTCTTGCCTGGGGTGTCAGGTGTAGGGTTGACGACCCTGCCATGTGCACGTGGGCTGGGTGTCGCCACTGTAGCAGGGATGAGCCTGGCAGAGCAAGGGACTTCTGGCCTGTGTTGGCCGTGCCTGTGGTCAGGGCCACCTCTGCAGGAGCCCGTTAGGGACGTTGCTCTGCTCTTGGGATTGGTGGTAAAAGGCAAAGCAGGGAGCGCACTCCTGGCACTCAGGCTGGGGGGACTCAGTGGCCCTGGGTTCAAGAGTGTCAAGGAAAGCTGAGGTCCCAAAGATAGCCCTACTGGTGTCCCCGGGAGGCAGGTGGACACCACCCTGGCACCTCTCAGGCAGCTGCACGCAGGGCTGCCCAGAGTGGGGCCCCCGGGGAGCGAGGGTGACGCCTGCCTGTCCTGTGTCAAGCAGCTGCCAACGTGCTGCTCTCGGAGCAGGGCGACGTGAAGCTGGCGGACTTTGGGGTGGCCGGGCAGCTCACGGACACGCAGATCAAGAGGAACACCTTCGTGGGCACCCCCTTCTGGATGGCGCCTGAGGTCATCAAGCAGTCGGCCTATGACTTCAAGGTGGGCGCGGCAGGTGGGCAGGTGTGGCGGGGCTGTGGTTGGCTCGGGTGCTGCTGGGCAGCGACAGTCTCTACGTCCGTCCAGGCTGACATCTGGTCCCTGGGGATCACGGCCATCGAGCTGGCCAAGGGGGAGCCTCCGAACTCCGACCTGCACCCCATGCGTGTGCTGTTCCTGATTCCCAAGAACAGCCCGCCGACGCTGGAGGGCCACCACAGCAAGCCCTTCAAGGAGTTCGTGGAGGCCTGCCTCAACAAGGACCCCCGCTTCGTAAGGCCGGGGCCGGGGGAGCGGGGGGTGGGCAGCTCGGTCCCAGGCGTGGCCCGCCGCCCCAGCCTGCCTGCGTCTGCCCTCCTGCGGGCGTGGCTGGGCTGTGCCTCACGACGTGTCTGTCCCCCGCAGCGGCCCACTGCCAAGGAGCTGCTCAAGCACAAGTTCATCACGCGCTACACCAAGAAGACCTCCTTCCTCACGGAGCTCATAGACCGCTACAAGCGCTGGAAGTCTGAGGGGCACGGCGAGGAGTCCAGCTCTGAGGACTCTGACATGTAGGCCTTGCCCGTCCTCGTGACAGCCCTGGGCCACGACGCGGCTGTGGTCCCCACTCCAGAGGCAGGGGTTTGGGCGCCAGGTGTGCGGTCGGGCAGGGCCCACCGTGTGCCCCGGGTTCTGCGGCCTGGCGGAGCCCAGCCCGCGCTCGGGTCTCCCTCCGGGCCGTGAGGCGCCTCAGAAGGGAATGAGGGGCAGGGGGTTCCCAAGGCCCTTGTGACTCGTCATCCTCTTCAGTGACGGCGAGGCTGAGGACGGGGAGCAGGGCCCCATCTGGACGTTCCCCCCCACCATCCGGCCGAGTCCACACAGCAAGCTGCACAAGGGCACGGCCCTGCACGGCTCACAGAAGGTCTGTCCCTGGCCCAGTCCCGGAGGGGACCGTTCCACGCGCGCCAGCCGCATCTCGGCTTCCCCTGGGCTGCAGGGTGGGCCGGGTGCGGGGCCCTTTGCCTGGGCCCAGTTTTGTCCACCGGTGTCCGAGGCCCGGAGTTGCGCTGAGCTTGGGCCAGGTGTGGACACCCTAAACCCCAGCATGTACGGGGAAGGCTGTTCAGAGCCGACTTTGTGGGGAGAACGGACCGGGGTGTGGCTGGGGGTCATGGGCCATGAGGCCCAGGCTGCTTGGTGGTTTCGGAGCCGCCGCTGGGCACGTGTCTCGTCCTTTCGAGGACACCAGAAACCTGCCCCTCACTCAGCCTCGGCTTCCCCTTCGCAGCCCGTGGAGCCCGTCAAGAGGCAGCCGCGGTCCCAGTGCCTGTCCACGCTGGTCCGGCCCGTCTTCGGAGAGGTGAGGTGGGGCTGGGCCTGGGGGGAGGAGGCTGGTGCCCCCCTCGGAGGCGGCACAGGCCCTGCTGGCACTGGGTACAGGCTTCCGTTCAGCCAGCTGGTCTCTTGCGGCTGACGGTGGTTTAGACTTGGGGCAACTTCCTGAGTGAAGGGCCAGACCCTCGGAGTGAACTGTCCTGGCGCCACCCTTTCTGTTCCCTGACCTGCCGAGGTCCTCTGGTGCCCAGGCTGGCTTTGCGTGAGAGCTGGTCTCCTGCCAGTCTTTCCTTAAAGCGCAGACGCACTGGATGGCACCAGTGTGGAGAGGAGGTTTAGTTCTTGGTGTTGGGGTCAGTGCCGGGCAGGGCGGCCGTGTGACCCTGTGTCAGTGTCACCTGGTGGGCATCTCGTGTCATCCCCAGAAACGCCACGCAGATGGGAGCCCCGTGCTGGAGCCGGGGCTTGGGCAGGGGGTCAGGCCAGGTGCCCTCCAGAGGCCTCCGTCTGCCGCAGGGACCAGGCAGCACCTGGAGCCCAGGAAGGGAGCGTGGAGGGTGCTGGTGAGAGGGTGGGTGACCCCAGCCCGCCTGAGGCCCGAGCAGGACGCGGCTGCTTGGGGCCGGATCTAGGCGGCCTGCTGGTGTGGCAGAGCCCAGGGTGCGAGTGGACAGGTCGTGCGGGGCGCTCTGGCGTGTCTGGGTGGCTGTTTTCGGGTCCGGCCGAGCCCGTTCATCCGCTTCTGTGACCCTCAGCTGGGAGGAAGCCATCTGGCCTCCCGAGGACCGAGCCCCAAAGTGCGGTGGGGAGGGGCTCTGGTGACAGGGCCACCAGGGCGGTCGTGGTGCCTCGAGCGATGCCAGTTCGGCTCACGGGTGCGGGCCCTAGCCTGCAGCGTGGCTTCTGACTGGGTGTGCGCCGGCAGAGGAGGCCGTCGGGCCAACAGGCACGCGCTGTCTCTGCAGCTCAGAGAGAAGTACAAGCAGAGCGGCGGGCGCGTGGGGGCGCTGGAGGAGCTGGAGAACGCCTTCAGCCTGGCCGAGGAGGCCTGCCCCGGCATCTCCGACACGCTGATGGTGCACCTGGTGGAGCGTGTACAGAGGTGAGGGCACCCCCTGTGGGGTCTGGGCTGTGCGAGTGAGGTCTGCCCGTTTGGCGTAGCTGACCTCTGCCTGGTGGTTTCCAGGAGCTGCCCGGGTCCTTCCCCACCCCCCGGGTCCTGGCCGTGTAGCTCCTGACACCAGTGTGTCGGGGACCCCTGTGGACCCCCCCCCCCCCAGTGCTGCTTGCCACGGCTGCCACCCGGGCGGCCTGGCTGTGGCAGAGCCAGAGCAGCGACGGGGGCTCCCTCTGCAGGTTTTCACACAGCAGAAACCACCTGACGTCGACCCGCTGAGACTGCTGCTCACAGTGGGGACGGGGCCTGCGTCTTGGTCCTGAGAACTGTGCTGACCCGGGAGGCCTGCGAGCCGTCAGAGCCCGGGCCTCGCGAGCCGGGTCACGGTCCCCTTCCTTGCAGTGTGCTGTCCTACCCGCCCGCTTCCACCTCCCCCTCGCGGCCCATCTGAAGCGATGCCTGACGGCAGAGCCCCCAGAGGACCACGCAGCCATGTGGCCCGGTCTCCTCAGCATCCCTTGGGAGCTGGGCCTGGCCCCTCTGTGGACTGGGGCGCCCCACCAAGGGGCAGAGCAGTGTCGGGGCAGCTCTGCCTCTTTGCCGCGACACTGGGGTGGGGCACGGGGCGGCCCCCAGAGGAGCACCCCAGCCGGGTCCTCCTCACCCCGCCCGCTGTCCTCACGTTGGCCCAAGATGGTCATAGATTTCGCCTTGTGGTGTCAGATCAGGTACTGTGTCTGCTCATGAGTATTTGTGTCATCCAGAATGTTTTGTTTTTTACGAAAAGTGAGCTTGTTTCCTTAAGTATTCTGAGGTTGTTAGTTTTCGTAGAACGTTGAGAGGCCCCGGCCACTTTCAATAAAGACCTGACTTGGAGATGTGCAGGTGTGTGGGGACCCGGGCCAGGCGGGTTCCTGTCCTTGGTCTCCAGCCCGAGTCCGCGTCACAGGCAGAGAAGAGCACACAGGTGGGTGGGGCGATGCGGTTTATTTTTAACCAGACACGCGTGAACAAAGGGGTTGTATGTCTGCTTCCCGTTGGAAGGAACGTGGGGACAATAAATACAGGGACCTCTCCCCCCGCCCAGACTCTCGCTCAGCGGTGACCCACAGGCCAGGCCCCGGGCACTGCCATTTGGTCATCCAGACAGACGGGCCCTCGGCCCTCCCGGGACAGAAGGTGGGGATGTGGAGCCGCCCGCCCCAAGCTTGTTCCAGGCCCATCCCCAGCAGGGCCCTGCTCTGGGGAGGGGAGGACGGGGCGAGCCTGGGCGTGGTCTGACACCCACAGCGCCAAGTTTGAGACCTGCACGTCCTTCCCGGTGTCCTGAGGCCTGTGGGCCTGTACTGGCTCTTGGGAGGGACAGAGCCCCCCCAGTGTCACTGTGAGGCCCACCTGCACTGTCGCGGACCCGACAGGGTGAGGCCGCAGCTGCCTCCTGTCCTCTGGGAGGACTCGGTTCCTTGGCCACCTCACACCCCGAGATTCTGCGGCGTGTCCTCGGTAGGATGAGCTTCGTTCTTCCATCCCCCTGATGGCCCCTGTGGGCTGGAGGAGCGTTGCGCGCACTCCCGGGCGAGGCTCGGGGGCCTCCCAGGGGAGCTGCTGGCCTTCTCGATCACCTCCACCCACCTGGGGGAGAGGCCAGGCGTCAGGACGCCCCACGGTGCTGAGCTGGAGGGCAGGGCACCTTCCGGCCATCAGCCCATAGGCTCGGGCCAAATACGGCCTGAGAACGACCCCAGACGAGGAGCGACGGGGCCACAACCAGGGTCAGTGACAAACCCTGGGAGCGTCACTCAGCCGCTCCGTTCCAGGACCCAGATCTGCCTCCAACTCCAGGAGTGGAGGGAGGAGACTCTGACCTCCTCGGGGCACTGCCGGGACTGGGGCTGCCACCAAAAGTTACCTCTCGAACGTGTACTTGCTCTCGGCCCGGAAGAAGTAGACATGGGACTTGAACTGGAGCTTGAAGACGTGGTCCTTGTGGATGCCGTCGGCCTCCCTCGGGACGCTCACGCTGTAGCCCAGCAGCGGGAGGCTGGCCAGCGGGTAGTCGTCCTGGAAGGGGCACGGGCTCAGGAGGACGAGGCGCAGGCCACCCTGACCAGTGCCGCGAGAGGGCCCCTTGCCGTCCCCAGGCCCCTGGCTCTCCCTGCACGTGGCGCCCACTGCCGTTGCCCACGGGTGGTGCTGGGTGTCCGCGAGGGGGTGGGACACCGAAACACAGGTCAGGAGGGCCGGTGTTCCCCCCGCCCCGCCCCGCCCCGCCCCGCCCCGCACCTGGTGAGTTTTGTAGAAGAACAAACAGAAGTTGGTGAAGACCACCCAGAGCTTCTGCCAGCCGTTGCTGTTCTTGAACTTTCTCAGCAGGTATCCTGAAAGCTGGTTCTGTCAAAAGGGAAAGGACCCCGGCCTCATCCTCCTGGGGCCTCAGGAGAGAGGGTGGGTTTGCCCCAAGATGCCCACCCAGAGGCTTCCCCGGACAGAGGTTCTTTATCAGCACTGTTCATCAATACTTTTTAAATTTCTTTTCCCTGCATGTAATAAAGTCAGTGTCCTGCACACAGTAACCCCAGCCTCCCAGCAGCCAGAGAAGGGAAGATACCTTAAGAGACAGTATGTTGAGCCAAGTCTGGAAGGTTCTGTCAGGTGATGGGGGGGCGAGACCCCCCAGCCCATCCCTGAGCGTGTGGCGCCCACTCCAGCAGGGGCCAGGCCCCCCATGCCCCCGGCCCACAGGGTGGTGCTCTGGGGTCCCCAAGGGGGTGCTTGAGCTCTGCCCCATCACGGGTGCCTGGGCTGGCTCCTGGCTGCTGCCCAGGGAGGGGAGGTTCTGGGGGGACGGGGTGGGCTCAGGTGGGCTGCGTGGAGGCCCAGGCCGAGGGGGCTGGGGTCCTGCGAGGTGGGGGAGCCCCCTGGGGCGGGCAGGAGGCTGCAGCTGGGGGAGGCGGAGCACGGGGACTCCCCAAGGGGGCTTTTCCCAGTGACTCCACGAGACACTGACTCAGATCTGGGTCAGACGCCTGTCACAGAGGGACCTTCTGAAATGGCTTCTACCAAGTGTCCCCCACCCACACCTGGTGAGTTCTGCAGAACAAGCAAGCTGGTGAAGACCACCCAGAGCTGCTGCCCCCGTTGCTCAGCAGAGCTCGGAAGGTTCAAGAACTTCCGCTGGGGCCCGGCCCTGCCAATTGGGACCCTTCTGAGCCCCTGGCTGCAGCCCGCTGTACCTCGACAGCCGCGCTGTGGTCAGCTCTGGACACGCTGGTGTTGCGGTACCAGCACACGTGCATGGTGGTGTTGGCCCGGTGCTGCTGCCCCTCCAGGGAGCTGCAGGGGCCCCGGGCATCTTCTTCCGACTCCTGCTCCAGAGCAGCCTCGTCGGGGCGTCCTGGGGGAGAGGACGGAGTGGTTGGACACGCAGCACCCTGGAGCCGCCTGCCTGCCGGAGAGGACCACGGGGGGAGGACACCCGCACCCGTCGGTGCCCACGCCGGCAGCCGGAGCCACTTGAGGACACTCCCGCCCGCCTGGGCGTGGCCTGGAAGGGGAGCTCAGCAGGCTGCCCATGGCCAGGGAAAACCCTTCCAGAGACGCTCCCTGGGGCGCAGTGGGGCTCTCCTGGGGGGCCTTGGCCAGAGCTCACCGGGGGTGTGGGCACACACGGTGCCGCCTGGCAGAGAGGGGGATGTGTCGCCACTGCCCTTGGCGGCTTGGATCGCGGCGTTCAAGTCGAGCATCCACTTCTCCTTTTCCAGCCGAGTGCTGCGGGGAGAGGGGCCGGGGCTCAGGGCAGGGCGAGGGACGGGCCTGCTGCACCCTGCTCTGTGCTTCTGGAGCGGCAGGGAGAGGCCTGTGCCGAGAGGCGGGGAGGGGCAGACGGCGCCTCAGCACGGAACGGGGCGCACGCCGCTCAGCTGTCCCCAAAGCAGTGACGCTAAGTCTCCGATGCTGAACGCCGAGTTTGGGGTTGGGGGCAAGTTGACAGCGATTCCTGGCGGGAGCCGAGCGCCCTGTGCTCTCTGACGTTGGCAGCAGCCTGCGGGCCAGCACAGCGGGTGCTGGTGCCGGGCAGGGCCGCCACCGACAGCTGGTGTCAGCCTTCGCTGGTTGGCTTTGGGGAGAAGGGAGAAGGCTCCACTTCCTCCAGCCCGGTCTGCCTCGCAGGGCCCGGTGCAACCGCCGGGGCTCTTCCCCGGCCCCTCACGCTTCCCCTTGACGGGAGGGTTTGGAAGTGCTCGTACCCTGGGAGACTGACCCTGGCCACTCGCCAGCCCCTCCCTGGGAGCCCGTGAACAGCGTGGCATCCTTGTCAAGCACTGAACCCAAGGTGCACGGAGCGGCCCTTCTGGAACCTTCTCACAGGTCAGCAAGCACCGCCGCCTGACAAGGCCGAGGCTGCAGCTTTGTTGCGTAACTCGGAAGCAGAGCTCAGCGCAAAGGGGGCACGACGCGCCCGGAGGCTCCAGGGGAGGCGCCCGTCCAACCCTGACAGGACGGCCCCCGGCCCTGCGCCCTGTGCTTGGGGTGGAGACCGCGAAGGCCCTACCTGGCCGCCACCACGATTGTTTTCTGCGCCGCGTAGATGGTGAAGCAGTGGGGCACGGACCACTCGTTCTCGCTTTCCTCCACCTGCGGGTGGGAGCGGAGGGGAGTCTCAAGACCGGGAAGGAGCAGGCTGAGCCCCGGCCTGAGGCACGACGTGGGCAACCGCCGGCCACGCGGGCACCCAGCCCGGAAGCCCCGCGCTGTCCAAGTCTACGCTGGCTCTACGGGGGCGGCTACGAGAGGCACGCTGGTGTCCCCGCGCCACGGCAGCTGCCACCAGGGGCTGTGCTGTGGGCCAAGGCGCACCAGCTACTCACCGGGGGGTCCAGCACTATTAGCTGAAAATCAAGCAAAGGAGAAAACGTTGAGCATTTTCATTATTAAAAAGAGAGTTCTAGATAGTTCATCTCTAAACCTGGTCAGAGTCTATAAACCTAACAGTTAAAGAAAACCTATTACAGACTAATCCCAGCTGTCAGTGGCTGCGTGAAATAACTTCGAAAACGTATTGCCACGGCCACCCTGAAAGCACATCAAGGAATCGTCCCATGGTCAAGTTGGGCTGTGCTAGGGACGCCAGGACCAGCCAGTTGCCAGTGACCCCACAGAGCCCAGAGCTTCCCTGTGCAGGGGCTGTGAGATGCCAACCGCTGAGCCTCCACCTGAACATCAAAGATGGAATCAGTAATCCCAGTGCTTTGGGAGGCTGAGGCAGGAGGATCACTTGTGGTCAGGAGTTTGAGGTTACAGTGAACTACGATGACACCACTGCACTCCAGCCCGAGAGACAGTGAAAGGTCTGCATTAACACAAGCAATGGGCGGGCACGCTGGCTCACGCCTGTGATCCCAGCACTCTGGGAGGCCGAGGCGGGAGGATCCCTTGCCCAGGAGTCAGAGGTTGCTGCGGGCTGTGATGACAACACGGCACTCCAGCCTGGGCGACAGAGTGAGACTCTGTCTCAAAAAAAAATAGCAATGGCTGGTAAAACCTTGTTGAGATGTTAGTCTTCCCCTAAGTTAATACATAAATTTAATGCAATTTCAACTGAGATCGCAATGATGTTTTGACAGGAATTTGTCCAATGACGTCAAAATTTACTTGGAAGAATTAAATGCTTGAGAATAGCAAAGAACATTCTCAGGAGGAAGAATAAGGGATGGGCTGTCTTCACCCACACGATGACCACCTCTCAGGACACCACCACCGAGAGCGTGGCCTGAGGATGGGACAGAGCCCAGAGGTTTATGTGACAGAGGCAGCCTTTGAGATCCGTGAGCAAATAATGGGCAAAAGTGACTAATGGGGAGACAGTGTTACATCTCAATCTAATAACATTTATGAAAACAAATTCTAGGCAGATTAATTAGATGAGAAAAATGAAACCATAAAAAGGTGCCAACAGGCCGGGCGAGGCGGCTCACGCCTGTCACCCCAGCACTCGGGAGGCCGAGGCGGGAGGCTCACTGGAGCCCAGGAGTTTGAGGTTGCTGTGAGCGATGGTGACGTCACTGCACTCTACTGACGGCACCGGAGTGAGACTCTTGTCTCAAAAAAAAAAAAAAGTGCCAATATAAAATTGGCCTGAGGAAGAACTTCCCGAGCCCACACGAAGGACAGAAACCCTCAGGCAGAGCTGATCCCAGATGGTCCCTGACTTTCAACTCTACGGTGGTGTCAGAGTGACAGGCATTGAGTGGGACTCTTGAGTACCAGACAACACCCTGTCTCACCGCCAGTACAGTATTCGACAAATTACACGTGACAGTCAACACTTTAGTATAAAGTAGGCTTTGTGCTGGATGACTCTGCCCAGCCGTAGGCTAATGTGAGTGTTCGGAACACATCTGAGACAGGCGTGGCTAAGCTGGGATACTCAAAGCGGAGGTGTATTCAGTGCATTTTTGATTTATGTTATTTTCCTAAGTCAAGGAGCATCTGTAGACAACAAATGTCTAAATCCACTCCTCCAACAAGCATTTGCTGGGTGCCCTCTCCGTGCCAGAAGCCGCTCCAGAATGAGGTACACGGCCCGCCGGGATGGAGTTTGAACTGTGCCAGGTGAAGCCAGGCGGCAGGAGGAGGAGGAGGAGGAGGAGGCAGGCACTGACTGAGAAAGGGGTTCCTGACCTTAGGGGTTGGCTGGCGTTTTTACATAAAGGCTTCGCAAACGTGTACAGAAAGCTCACGTGGAGCCCAGAGAGGAAAACAGCGCCAGGAAGTGGGAGCCAGGTTGCCCGACGACCCGGTGGGATGCCAAGGGAAGCAGCGGGCCGCTCAACTCACCACCTGGGGATGAGGAGCGGACGGCGCCTGGCGCCCGCGCTCTGCGCTGCGGGAGCCGCACGTCCACACCCAGCTGCCGGCTTTAGCAGCAGCGCTCAGGGCTGTAAACGCACGTGGACCCTTTGCGCAAACGAATCTGCATTTTGGGATCAATCTTAAAGACACGATTAAGGGTGTGCGGACAGACGAGGCCGACCAGCGCCACCCACAGGCCTCCACAACTAGTCGCAGCCCAGAGCCTGGTGACGGGACGGGGTCGTCTCTGCCACGAGGACGGCTCAGGGACACGAGATGCTCGTGACAAAACGCTGAGCGAAAGCACGGGTTACAAGAGAGCCTGTGGCAGGTGACGCCCCCGGGGACAAGGACACTGGGCGCGTTGCAGAACGCCCTTGCGGTACTGCTGGGTGGCGGAACTATGAACTGCTTTTATTTTACATTTTCAGGTATTTTTTCTATAATAAAAGTGTAATTTTAAAACAGACGGGGTCTGTTCCAGGGATGGCAGATGAGGCCATTCAGACCAACCTCCCTGCCGAGGCCCAGAGGACAGAGTGAGCGTCACGGACAACCGCGGGCAGGCGGCAGCCTGGAAGGAGCGGGAGGGGCCGCTGCGGCGACCAGGCAGCAGAGCCGGGGGCCGGACGGAGCTGGGCGTCAGAGCCCCAGCCAGTGGACCCCGCGTGGAGGCCCGGTGGGGCCGCGGGGCATGTTCGCCGCAGCAGCTGTCCCGGGCCAAGGGCCCACCCTGTGGCCAGACCCGGACGTGGCCCCCACCTTCAGGGAAGGGGCAGCGAGCCCGGGGCCGTACGTGAGCCTCCCACCACCGAGGACTGGGTTTTCGTCGACCACGGAAAGCAGGGACCACAAAGGACACGGCTGACAAACTGCATCGCATTAAAATGAAGCATTTCCGCCCCTCAGGAGACAGAATGGAAGTGTCACTGGTCCGGCCGGCTGGCCCACCCGAGGAGCTCAGCCAGAACAGCTCTGTGTCCGGCCCCCAAGGAGCGGACGCCAAGCATGTGACTGTTCAGGTGGCGGAATCCCACGCTAGGTCAAAGGGCAAACTGAAGCCTCACGTGACCTGTGGGAGAATGTCACAAGCACGGCGTGGCCGAGGAGGAAGCCCTGCGAAGGCTCACTCGGAGCTGGCGGAGCAGGCCTTGTGCTGCCAGAGGCCACGCTGAGCCCAGAGGGTCCCAGGCCGCCCTGGAGGGAGCCACGTGGGCATCATGAGAGCAGTGACCACGAGGGGCTGGACGGGCACAGCCAAGGAAGCCCAGCAGGTGCTTCCACCCCAGCGGGCCGGGATCCGCATCTGCACGCGGGGGTGGGCAGTGCCCCGCCCAGCGCACCAGGCAGGCAGGGCCGACGCCACTCACCAGCATGCCTCGGAGCGGGAGGAGGCCCCGGATCCGGAAGTGGCTAGTCCCCGCGACGCCTCTGCTGGTGTAGAGCAGCATGTCTGAGAACTGAGAGACGGGAGCTTTAGAGACAGACTGGAAACGGGCGAGAAAGCTACGCCGTCTTAGCAGCCAGCCTCCAGGGGCCCGCCATGTGGCCGTCAGATCCTTTCAGCTTGTTGGAGATTTCTGGCAAAAAGGGACTTTTATTTCATTCATTTGATCATTTTGACCAGAAATAAGAAATACCACACGGGCCAGCCCCAGGGCCACCAGGGCCACCTGGTTCACCGGCTGGAGGCAGGAGGGACTCTGGCTGGTGGTGACTCGGCCTCCTCATCCACGGGGTCCGGGTTGGAATCCACTGACTGAGGCCCGGGGAAGGGAGGGCACGAAAGGGACCTGGTGGGATGAGGACGGGCTGGGGGTCCCTGGTCTCTGGAGCTGAACCCGGTGCTCCGGGCCAGCAGTAGGACCCTTGGCCGCTGGGCCATTCGTAGAAGCTTCCTGCAGCCACAGCGTGTGGGCCTCTCCACGTCTGGCTTCTGCTTGTCCTGCGACAGGTGCGCAGAGCCGGGGGAGGGCAGGAGGCGGCCCTGGCGGGCGGAGCAGCCGTTCCGCATCCTCCACACGGTGACTGATGCCGCCCACCTGAGCCAAAGCTGCCAGGTGCCACCGGCACAGCTTCCTAACAGAACTGCAACCTGCCTCTCTGGGGTCGCGCGGCTTACGCAGGAGAGAACCCACCAGAAAGAACATCCTCTGCTGCAGGCCCTTCTTGGTGAGCTTGTGCAGGCAGCCCTCCCGGATGAACTCCTGAAAGACACAGACGGGTCCCCTCTGAGGTGGCCAAGGGTGGCTGCGGGTGCACGCTGGCCAGGCCGCGTGTGGGGACCGGCCACCCTGCCTTCAGCAGCGCCCTCGGCCACCACGTCCTGTCCTGGTGCCAATGAATTCAGTCCCCAAAGCCGTCTGCTGAGCAACGCCCTGGGCCAGGAGCTCTGGAGCCTGAGATGACCAAGAGGGAAAGTGAAGGGTGTTCTTGGTGAGGAGAGGCTTCTGGAAGGTTCCGCCACAAAGGTGCCACCTGAGTCTGCTTTGAGAAAAACTGGGCAGAGCAGGTCTGAGGAATGGGGGGAGAAGGGGAGGGTCCCCACAAGTGTTACCGAGCAACCTGAGTTAGCTGCCCCAGCGCATAAAGTAAGAAAAAAGAATCCCTAATACCACAAAGGCTCTAACTTCCAAGGGAATGAGGGGCTGAAGCTCTGGGAGGAGGTCCGCGGTCTCCGCGCCGCGTCCTCTCTCTGTGGAGCGCGGAGGGTCCTGCGCCCGCCCCCTCCTGGCCGGGATTCCCCCAGGTCTCTTGGGAGCCTTCTCCCTTTCCCACCCGCGCCGGGAGCCTCACTGCCAGGCGCCGCACACCCCTGCCTTGCGAGGTCCCTAACACCCGTGCTGAGGGCAGGGGGTGGCCCTGGAAGGCCCACAGCAGCTCTAGCGCGGACTGTTCTGGAGCCCATGTGCCTGAGGACGTGCAGTGTGAGCAGCCCAGTGTTCTGTGCAAGGCACAGACAGGAACGCGTGTGCAGGGCATCCTCACGGCACAGCAAGGTGACCAGCCTGGGGGAAGGTCTGTCCGCACGTCGCACAGGTGCTTCTGCGTACCGGGCTGCGTCTCTCACTCCAAGCCTACCCTCCCCGAGGGCAAGACGGGCCCAAGGGCAAGAAGGGAAAGCCGGCAGGTTCCGGGAGCTGCTTCACCCCAGCCGCGGGCGCCAGTCCTGGCTGTCGGGTTTCCTTGCAGAGCCAGTGTCATCGCCCCGTGGAGACCCGAGAACTCGCCGAGCAGCAGGCCCTTCTTCAGAGCCCCGCCAGGTGTGCGCCCCCGGCCCGGGGTGCCCGCTTCCCTGAGCTTCAGCTCCACGGGCCCCTCGCCAAGCCTTTGGGTCTGAAGACCTGGCCTGGCCCGTTCCCCAGCCCTGGGGCAGCACCTGCTGCTCCCACTTGGTTCTCCCACCACCTGCCTCCTCCCAGGCTGCCTGCCGCTGGCGCCTAGCAACCCTGAGCCTAGTTAACAGCCCTCTGCTCGGACAGCTGGGACGGTTTCTGTCTCTGGACTGACACACGTTTAACTCAGGGAGACAAGAAACCCTGGGTTCTAAGGACTTTGGAGATTTTGTCTAATTACAGCAGTTACAGTGGCCAGAATTTGCAAGGTACCTACTGCATGCAGGGCCTTGCGCTGGGCAGCTGGGCCCGTTGGTCCTCACCACCCGCTAGCTCAGAGGGTGGGCAGCCTGCAGCCCCACTGCCCTATGTGGCTGGCTTATTTGTCTCTTCCGTGACAACTCCCTGGGGCCATTAGGAGAAATGACAATGTGTAACCAAGCCCCCACCTCCAGTTTCCCGCCAGCAGCACTAGCCAAGGAGAAAAAGAAACAGAATGATCTTAGTATCCATCAAAGCCCAAACTCCATAAGCGCAAACTCTCATAACCTTCCTGTACATTCTAGTCTATCTCATTTTCTGAGCTCGCAGTTCCATGTTCTCAGTACCTTCTTCTAGTAAGGCTAACGCAGAAACACGATTTATACACACACTCTAATGCACACATGTTTGTGTTTAGACAGGAAACCTATCCATGCAATTTTTAACTTTTATTTATTTTTGGAGACAGGGTCTTGCTCTGTTGCCTGGCCGGGAGTGCAGTGGTGTCATCACAGCTCACTGCAACCCCTGACCTGGGCCCAAGCGATCCTCCCGCCTCGGCCTCACAGAGTGCTGGGATCACAGGCGTGAGCCACCACGGCTGGCCTTTCATCAAATTCTGGCAACGATTTTCTTTCTTACATTGATAGTGTTGAGTTCAAAGCAAAAAGCTCTGGTGACAGAAAATAGCAGCCCAACAGACACAAAGACCATGGAATGGAGCGTCCAGAAATAGATCCAGACCCCGTGGTCCACTGATCTCCTACAAGGGTGCCACGCCAGTTCAGCAGACGGTGCGGGGCAGCTGGATGTCCACATGCAAAAGAGTGGAGTTGGACCCCTACCTCATACCATAGATAAAAATTAACTCAAAATGCCAAAGATAATTGAAAACATATGTCCACATAAAACTTGTACACGAATATTCATAGCAGCACTATTCATAATAGCCAAAAAGTGGAAACTCAAGTGTCCATCAACAGATGAATGGATGAACATGTGGTACATGTAGGATGGAATATAATTCAGCCACAAAAAGGAATGAAGTACTCAGCTGGGCGCAGTGGCTCACGCCTGTAATCCTAGCACTTTGGAAGCCTGAGGCGGGAGGATCGTTTGAGGCCAGGAGTTCAAGACCAGCCTGGGCAACATAGTGAGACCCCATCTCTACCAAAAAAAAAAAAAAAGAAAAAGGAATGAAGTACTGATCTAAGCTACGACATGCACGAACCCTGAAAACATTTTGGGTGAAGGAAGCCAGTCACAAAGGCCACGTAACATATGATTCAATTTCCATGAAATACCCAGAACAGGCAACTCCTTAGAGACAGAAAGTGGATCAGTGGTTGCCAGGGTGAGGGAGGGGCAGTGGAGAGCGACTGCTAACGGGCGTGAAGGTTTCATTCTGCAGTGGTGAAAATGTTCTGGATTACGGCTTAACAGGCGTCAGTGTCCGGCTCCGGCCCCTTCAAAGCGCAATCCTGGGACGAGCTACGGGGAGTGCTTTGCTGCGGCGCAGCCGTGGCCGGCAGTGCTAGCCGAGGTTATCGGGAATCCTTAAATCTGTGTCCCTTAAATTGACCAATCTTCCCTGGGTAAGAGAAGCTGATTTAGAGTTGCTGAATGTTGTATTAATTCTGCTGTTTGCTTATAATTGAATCAAAATAAAAACCTTGAATAAAAAATAGAAAATGTTCTGAATTAGATAGTGATGGTTGCACAGCCTTGTGAATATACTAAAAACTACTACATAATACACTTTCAAAGGGTGAATTTTGTTGTATGTGAATTACATCTCAATATAATTTATTGAGATATATTTTATTGGTTATATGTCAGTATGAAAAGACAGAGCAGCTCGCAGGCTCCCCCAGAGCAAGGCCACTCACCCTGCCGGGAGTGATGAGACTGTCCACGCCCACCAGGTCCCGCTGCAGCTCCGTCAGCTTCTGGAGGTTCTCCAGCCGCACCAGGCTGTTCTGCAGCGTGGCGGTCACTTCTGTGATGGCCTTCAGGGCGTCTGCACAGAGAGACACCTCAGTGCAGGCTCCCGGGCAGCAGTGTGGACAGACTCCCCACCCACCACCTGGTGACAGCAACTGGCACGGTGCCTCGCAGGGCCACCGCGCTTAGCCACCAGGCGCCACTCGGAAAGTACAGGTTCCTGCGGGTAGCGCTGAGACTTTGACTTTGTTCAGCCCAAACCATTGACTAGCCACTACTCTGGCTTGGTAAAGAGAAAGACGAAGGAAAATAACTCTTTAACGTCGTGGGTAAGGCAGTATTTGTTCTTTAAGGAAAATGATTTACTGCATGTTGACAGCTAAATGATTTGCACCTTCTAAACAACTGTAATTTTCTCTTTGAACGGAGGAACAGATGCTAATCTTATAGCTTGAGCAAAGATAGGAGGTTTATAGTCAAGAAGGGAAACTTATTAAGACAAACACAAAAGCAGACACTAAGAGTGGTCTTCCAGCCCTGACCTGAGCAGGCCGTGTGGGAAGGGCTGCTTGGCTGGCCCTGGCCCGGCCTCCGACACTGCCTGGCGCGTAGCGGCTGATGTTCCTCGCTGGGACCGCAGCGGAGCCCACTCTCTCCCCCGTCCTATCGACTCCCTCCTGCTGCCTGGCCACAGTGCTTCGTGGCTCCCGTGAGCACAGCGGGACGAGGCCCACAGCCCTCCCCCAGCACTGCCCTGCACTTGGCCCTTGCCCGGGGCACATCTGTCAGCCTGAAGTCCTGTGACAGCTCCAGCTCTATGCTCTTCAGTGGAGGTGACAACACCCCCTTCACAGCTTTCGGAGAATAAAGTCAGAAAAGAGTGAAGCACATGGAGAGGTTGTCATGACAAATGGCCGAATTACCCTTTCACGGATCACGTGCATGTGACGCTGAAAACGTCAGGGAAAGCTTCCGTGATGCCGGCGCAGGTCTACGGGGCGGCCAGCCGCGGTAGCTGGCGTCTGCTCCGTGCAGATGCCTAAGCTTCTGTCCTTCCCTCACCCCTGCTCGCCTCTCCCCCAGCTTGGCCGTCCTTCACGACCCAACTTGAGCCTAAGCCTGTCCTCCCGGACGCCCGGCGCTGGGCTCACGCACTGTGCAGCTACCTGGCCCTGCGCCTTTGCTCTGGAGAGCCCAGCGCCGCCCTGCCCTCGACGCCGTGTCCACGGAGTGCAGGGCCAGAAGCCTGGACTGCGGCCCGGGCTCTGCGTGGGACTTGGGTTGGCACTAGGGACCGTTCCAGACCTAACGTCAGCTGATGTGCTTATTGTCCCCTGTGCCTCTTCGGTGTCCCCCACAGAAGCCACAGCAGCAGCAGAGCAGGTGGGGGTGTCAACAGATCGACATACATGCTATACCAGCCGAAGCCATGTAGCACCTAGCAAGGCCACATGCTCTTGGGAAGCCCTCACGGAAATGAAGGATAAATAAAAATTCAAGGCCGCCTTCTCCAAGCCCCAACCTAAAGGCACCCCCTTTTGTCCAAGAGAGTCCAGTTCAATTTCCAGGAGGACCAAGGTGGCTGGTGGCGTCTGCACACCCAGGGGCGTCTCCCAAGAAGGCCCCTCTTGACAGCCACGCCTGCGCCCGCAGGGGCTCACGGTGGGAAAGGGTCAGCTGAGAGGCGAGTTAGCCACCGGGCTTCCCAAGCTCTCCAGAGATGGCCGGAGCCTGGAGCAAACCTGTCGAGGTGGGTGGTTACCAACGTTGCGCTGCACAAGCAACTTACAGACCACCTTCACGGCCTCACGCAGTTTCTGTACCAGCCTCTGGGTAAGTTTTACTGATGAGGAACCTGCCAGGTCCTAAGGGACAGGGACTCCCCCAGGTCCACTGAGCACGTGGTTCGTGGGGACCTGGCCCAGTTCTCTGCACTCGGCACGGCCTCCCCGACCACCTGGGCCCGGCCACCCTCTGCCCAGCACTGTGCCTGCCTCGTGATACCATGCGACGTGCCTGACGACGAGAAATGTTCAAACGTACTGTAATTATTTCACATTTCCCTTAAAATGCTTTAAAGTGTTTTTTAAAATATAATTTTGTCCTTTTCGTTTTTAGCAAACATGAAACATTAATTAAGAATGAAGAGGAAGAGAATTCAACATCCTACGGCCCGTCTGGTTTCTTGATAGACAGCACGTCATTTACGTCCATTCGAGGTTACGGGAAACCAGATACAAGGAAACGCTAAATATTTTTTCATCTTACACTTGTATTGACAATGGTAATCTACTTGTAAAAATCTGACAGCAATTTCTCGCACAAAATTTACACTACAAATAGAAGTCATATTTGTAGGTTAAAAACGTCCGAGTTTATTCTTTCATCCCTTTAGCACAAATCAAAGTGACAAAGTCCATCTATGTCAGAAATTTCTAACAGGCCACCTTGGCCAACATCTGTACGTTTTAGAGCCAGGCCCCCAGGACAGAAGTACTCACCAGCAACAGGTCACTCTGGAAGTTGTACCCGGCTCCCTGGTGCATTTGTGGGAGCTGTGGGGGACCCTGGCAGGAGACTGCCCTGGTCACAGCACCCCACTCCCTGTGACCCATGCAGGGCAATCAGAGGTCTTCCCCTGGATGCTCAGGTTTGGGACTGAGAGGCACCTGGCCCTAGGGTGGTGGAGCGGAACAGGCTAAGACCTGGTGTTGCCCGGGACGTGCTCCCCGCCAGCAGCCAGAGCCGACCGCCGCAGTCCCTGGCCCTCCTGGGGCAGAGACCCGGTGCTTCCCAGTTACGGAAGCGGCCCGCAGGTTTGCCGAAGCCACTGCTGCCTCTTGGCCACGGCAGCCCTCGAGATGCGAGGGCCTGGCGCCCACACTCACCGTGGCAGTCGGCATAGTCGTGGTGCCCGGGGGCGTAGGACCCGCACAGCCGGCTCAGCAGCAGGCGGTAGTGCACCAGCCGCTGGATGGGCTTCAGCAGGAATGTGTTGAGCGGCAGGTAGCAAACCTTCTGGAGCTCAAACTCTTTGTACACCGCCTCCAGCTTCTTAAAGCGTTTGGTGGCCTTTTCCAGTTCTGTCAGGACCTCGTCATGTCTTTGGAAATAGCTGGTAAACTCCTGTGGAGGCACAGAAGGAGAGTGTGTAGGTCAGGAGACAGGGAAGAGGGATCCGGTCGGGAAGCAGCCTGCTCGCCTGGACAGAATTCCCATGGTGGACTTTGCACGCCGCCTGGAAATCCCAGCGCGGCACCCAGGGACGAGCGGCCCAGCGTGCGTGGGCCGGAGCTTGTCTCGCCCGTCGCAGACTCGGCCGGGACCTGTGCCTCACTGCAGCCAGACACCAGGCCCTCTGCCGGCTGTGCCCGCTTCTCATGCTGTGAATGGACCGGTGGCCTCCTCCTCGCTTTACAGCGAAGAACTGAGGCGGGGAGGGCCACAGCTCGCCTTGTGGGACACAGTGAGCGAGCACTGGGCCAAGGTTAAACAGCCTGCTCGAGCTTGGCCCGGTCTCAGTGCTGGCTCCAGAAGCTTCCCTCAAGGGCAGAGCAAAGTGGTCGTGCTGACCCAGTAGTGGGAATAACCATGCCTGACAGTTTTACAACACATGTCAAGTGGACACATGTATAGATTCTGCGTGTTACGCGGACATATTAAACTAAAGTAGTCGGTACCTTCTAGAAGGTTTTGTTACTAAACCAACTTATTGTAATGAACATTAAAGATGACCAGTGTGGTATGACAAACTTGAGCAACCAGATTTGTACGTATTTCAGTTTTAAATTAGTGCAACTGCTTTTGGGATAGATAGAACTTTCTAATCAACTTGGCTCGAAACCCAAAAAAGCATCAGGGTAGGAAGGGGGGTCTGAGCAGAATATAACTCTTTAAGTGGGGGCAATCGGAAGACAGAACACAGTAAATTCTAGGTGTCGGGTGTAGCCAGAGTCCAGCAGGACTGGGGGGAAGTGGACAGGACAGGGATGGAGGAGGAGGCAGCCCAGGAGTGGTCACAGCAGCAAGTGGCTGCGGAGTCACTGCACCTCAGGGCTGCCGTGGTGAGCGTGTGCAGCACGAGGGGATGTCCCGTGTCTGTTTAGCAAGCGGAAGACCCCTGAACAGTGAATGTGCACCTGCACTGTGGACGTGAACACCTGTGGCAACTGGTCCTAGTGGAGGGACATCTCGCTGCCTACCTGGCACTGACCCTGTCTTCCTAGGCACACGCCCCCACAGAGCTCCAACACCCGAAGGAGACCCCGGACAATGAGCCCAGCAGCCCCGTCCTCCCCACACCAGCTATGGGCACTCTGTCCCCAGGGAACCCTGTACTGGTGGAGACCCTGTCCTAGGAAAACCCTGTTCTGGGGGACTCTGTCCTAAGGGAGATCCTGTCCTGAGGGGAATGTTGTCCTGGGGGGACCCTGTCCTGAGGGGGGACCATGTTGTGATCTTCTGAGGACTCTGTTCTGGGGGACCATATCCTGGCAGATATCCTATTCTGAGGGACCCTGTCCTGAGAGAGACCCTGGTCTGAGAGGACCCTGGTCTGAGGCAATCTCTGTCCTGAGGGGACTTGGTCTGAGGGGACCCTGGTCTAAGGGGATCCTAGTCTGAAGTGATCTATGTCCTGTGGGGAGACTGGTCTGGGGTGATCGCTTGGCCTCAGGGCACCCTGGTCTGCCACTGATCACTCTCCTGAGGGGATGCTGGTCTGAGGCGATTGCTGACCTGAAGGGCCTCTGGTCTGAGGTGGTATCTGTCCTAAGGTAACCCTGGTCTGAGGTGATTGTTGGCTTGAGGAGACCCTGTTCCAAGGGGACCCTGGTCTGAGGTGGTATCTATTCTGAAGGGACCTTTGTCTGAGGTGACCCTGGTCTAGGGTGATCGCGGTCCTGAGGTCGCCTGGTCTGAGGGGGTCCCTGGTCTGAGGTGACTGTTCTGAGGTGATCACTGTCCGAAGGGAATGGTGGCCTGAGGGCACCCTGGTCAGAGGAGATGCTGGTCTGAGGTGATCTCGGTCCTGAGGGGATCTGGTCTGAGGCGACTGCTGTTCTGAGAGGACGCTATTCCAGGGTGATCACGGTTCTGAGGTGACTGCTAGCCTGAGGAGAACGCTGGCCTGAGGGGAGCCGGTCTGAGGAAGGCTGTTCCGAGGGGAAGGACGGATGCACTTTCATCCTCAGTACTCGTGCTAGGCCTGGAGCCACCAGGCAAACTCGTCCTACCTTTAACTGTCGCATGTTCCTGAGCAGGATGTCCCCGATTCGTTGATGACCACCTTTGGTGTGGGCATTGGAGGGCCCTTCCCTGGAGAAAAGAGGAACAAAGAAGTTCAAAGCCTGTGAACGCTTGTGGAAGGTACCGCAATTTCATGCTGGTGTGACCGGCTGCCTGATCAGTCAGCCCAGTGTCCAGGAGACGCTCTGAGGCAGAAGGCCCAAGTCCGGGCCTGCGCTTGACAGAATTATTACAGTGTGGCCATTCTCTAAAAAAGATAACGAGCCTACAAAAGGGTCAGTCACTATTAACTTGCTCCTTTCATTCTCTTCTAGAATAGAATGAATAAAGATTATTATTACATTTCTACCTCTTCCCACAGGACTTTAAAATGTAATTTAACGAAATAGTGGTTCTTCTGAATTAGTTTCTGAAGAAGGGAAGTCTTGAGAGCGGTGACGGTGATGAGGGCGGGGGCTGCTCACGTCGGGGTCCAAGACTCAGGGGCGACCCTTGTGGGGGTCCAGGGTGAGGGGGCCACCGGTGTGCTGTGGGGGGTCTAGGACATGGGGGCTATCAATGTGGGGTCTCCTGTGTGTGGGGCCCAGGACACGGGGCTGCCCAGTGTGTGGTGGTGTTACCAGAGTGCCAGCCTCTGCTCCACCTCACGCAGGAAGCCTCTGTGGAACTCATAGATGGGATCGATGTTGGAGAAGAGCAGGCTCATCAGCGCTGCAGGCATGGCGTCCTCCTTGACCACTGCGCTGCGGAACCACTGTGGGAGGAACTCGGTGTGACAGGAGGCTTGGCCCTTGTGGGAGAGAAACTGTGCCCCCGAGGGCCTGTGACCACAGAACAGCCAGCAACAACCCTCCAGTCACCGTGTACAAAGACGGCTCAGATCAGCACTACAGCCATCCTCTGCTGACCACCCAATTTTCAATAAGAAAACAACTCTAGGTCAAGAGTTTCAAACGGCACATTCCCATCTTTACTGCTTCACAAAAACTCGGACCTCAACGTTCTGACCTGCCTCAGAATAAATGTTTTAAGGCAGATATATTTAATAAAATATACACATGTAAGTCTCATGATTATCAAAAGATATTTCTCAGGATGGAGCCTCTGTCTGTGTTTAGATTTAAGACACATTAAGAAAAAAATCAAAGTAATCAAGGACTTTCATACCACAGTAATAACTTCTAAATCTTTCAGGTATGTTCGCTCTGTAGCAAGAATCTCCTTTGCTATGAAATAGGCCTCGTCGGCAGGCGTGCGCTGAAAGAAGCAGAGACAAGCTGTGAGCATGTGTCTATGGGACGTCGCCCTGTTTGGGGAGGGCCTGAAGTTTCTAGCACTTGCTTTCTTCCACTTAAGTTAACGTCTTCACAGGGTTTTCATCCCTAATTCCTGAAGGGATTTATTTCTGAGTAAAACCATAGTCACAATTAAGCCCAGGTGTATCTCCCTCAAATGTTTTTCTCATTTTATGTTAATTCTTTTGGAGAAGAGAATTGCTGTTCAAATAATATATGTAAACAGGGTTGAAGCTTATTTTTGGTTTTGTGACAAAAAATCATTGTTCAGATATCACTGCCAGTGGTATAGCCCGTTAACACAGATCCACGAGTGTGAGTGTGATTATAATTAAACCCAACTCGGAAGAAAGTCATTAAAATGACCCAACAGTGCACATGCCAGATGCGCCTGTATCGGAGTACTTCCTCGATGCAGAGGTGGGCCTGAGCCCGGGCTCAGCTTCTGGAAGGACGAGACACGGCCCAGGCCTGGGAGCTCCTAAATCTGTCAGGGTTGTCTCTGGCCAACGTGCTGGCGCCACACGGGCAAGTCAGCAGTGGGGAACCCTCTCACCCCGTCCAACTCCGCATTCCTGGCAAAGCACACTCCACAACGGCCTCGGCAGGTGCCGTGTACTGTCCCTGGAGGGGCCCCCCAGCCTGAGCCCCTCCGAGAGCTGCCCTCTGTCGAGGTCCAGCTCGACAGCCCCTCCTCCATCCTCTCCCACCTCCCGGCGACCACGGTCCTGCTCCGGCCCCGTGCAGCTTGCCCGCTCCGCCGCCACACCGCGGACTTCTTTAGGGCAGACAGTCCCTGCATTCACTGTGCAAACATCAGGGGATCACATGCCAGCTCCGAACAGGCACCTGGGACATGCCCGTGAGCAAAGGTCCCTGCTCCCCTCGACTGGTATCCTCCCAAGAGGAGACAGGCAAGAAGTGACGCAAAATTAACAAGGAAGTCCCGTATCAGGGCAGAAAAGGCTGTGGAAAGTACAGAACAGGGGAGGGGCTGGAGGAACGGGGTCTGGGGACAGGCCACAGCCTCACTCAGAGGGCCAGGATAGCCAGCAGACAGGTCAGAGGTCAGGGGTTGGAGCAGGGGGGCAGCAGGGTGGTAGGAGGGGCTGAGACAGGTCACTGGAGGGGAAGGCAGGCCACGTGGGCCGGAAGGGCCCTTTGGGGTCCCTTTGTGAGTGCACTGTGACATGCCTGAACCCAGCACGTGACTTCGCTCCAGCCAGCGAGACGGCGTGCGGAGGGTGGGGGTGGGATCCTGAACACCTTCCGGGTTGAGCCCACTTGAGTTCTGGTGTGGATGTGACGTGTGAGGGGCAGAGGTGGCAGCGACTGCAGCAGTTTTTGGCCTAAGCCGAGGGAAAGCCCAGTCGCCGTGACCCCAGGCAGGGAGGGCTACAGGGCAGGTGCTGGGGGAAGACAGGGCTGGGTCTGCACCACGCAAGTCCAAGTGCGCTTCAGACGCTGGGCGAGAGGCACCGGGCACCCGAGGAGGCTGGGCGGGAGGCTGGGCTCAGGGCCCACGTCATCCTCCCTGTGCCCTGGTCAGTCCGGGACAGGCTGGGGCACCCCTGCGGGGCGGCCTGCCCCTTGCGGATGAAAGGGCGACAGAGGCGCCCTGGAAGCACCGATGCAGCTGGCCGCAAGGGAAGCCCGTCAGCGAGACGTTCCGCTCGAACCTGCCGCAGCTCTGGTCCCTGTGCCCGGAGCCCTGGCCCTTCACCCCACGGAGCAGCCGGATCACCTTTCACCTTTACACTTCTCCCACTTTTTCTTTTTGGGCTTCATGATGTTAAAAATGACTTTCAAATCCAAATTCAGTATAATCTTTTTAAAAAGTCTTTTCTCCATCTAAGCTATATGCCCAGTGAACTCCCTGGGGTCGGAGTTGGCCCCAAGAGGCCCATGTTTATGGTCTGGGAGGCCCCTGCTTCCCCCACACAACTAAGGGAGAGGGGTTTTGGACATTAACACCCCAAAAACTGTCAGCCTTGGGCCCTGGGGGAGAGTCTAGTGCAGGAGAGACGGCTTCCTAACTGCGTTCACCTTCCTACGGAGTCCTCAGAGCGCCAGACCAGCCTCTCCCAGGGCTGAGGCAGACGCAAGTCCAGGACAGCCCCAGGAGCACGAGGCTTCTCTCCACAGGCTCCGCCGGTGGGTGACGAGGGATGCGAGGGGCAGAGTGGTCAGGAGGAGCTGCCAGGGTGGCTGTGGCCCACCCTATGCCCTTGTGAGCCCAAGGAAAACCCTGAAGGAAGAGCTACTGCTCTGTCCCCCACATTTCTGGAATGACGTCCAACCTGAGTTGCACGCAAGCCAGGCTGCTGGTGAGGGACATGTGGGCGGCAAGGGACAGTCTTGGAATGAGAGCATGATTCCTGCAAGCTTCGCCGCCTGTCACCACAGGAAGTGCCTGTGTGCCCAAAGCAGGGTGAGCCATCACAGCTCTCAGCCCCACGCACACACACGGAAAGAGGCGCCTGCCATCTGTGGCTTTCCCACCTTTTGCGTATTGTTGGTCCTCCTCAGTCTCTATGAAAAAGGGGAGCGTCTCCCTGTCTGCGTCAATGGCAGACACTGGGGAGGAGGGGACAAGATGGCAACCCTGGGGGCTCGGAGGGTCAGGTAGCTCCTCGCTCCTCTACCCTCAGCTGAGCAGCCAGATGCAAGCTGGAAGCCTGACAAGGTCTATCCCCCGACGGGAACACTGGGGAGCCTCCCTGCAACCTGCTGCAGCCTTGGTGGGGTCACTGGTGGCCACCACCCCCAAACCAGCCCGCAGTTAGCCAGCTCACCTGAAAGCCTGAGTTTGCTCAGCAACCCCTTCGTGCCCAGGGAACGGGCTCGCCTTGGGGCAGTGGTGAAAAAAGGCTGTCCCTGCCACTCCAGAGCCCACCTGTGCTGGATGCCGCCCTGCTACGTACGTCCAGATATGCAGAATGGAGTCAGCGTTGCTCCCCAAGGAGAGGTGGCAGGAGACACTGGACCAGAGCCAAGGGTCCCCAGGCACAGGGGCTGGAGCCCAAGGCCTGCCTGAGGGAACCTCCTTCTGCAGTGACCCAGCCACCAATCCCTCGAGAGCACGGCTCTGTGAAGGCCCCACGGTGTCCCCATCTCAGAAGGCCTTCCCGGGTCAAATCATATTAACAAGCTCCTCTCGCAGGACCACATACCATCAGCCCAATTATCCCCAGGTGTGACAAGCTGTCACCCCTTAGAACCACCCAAAGAACCAACTATGTTTTGTAATATAAAAAGTAACGAATGAGAATTTAGTTTTAAAAACAGATCGCCTCCCAGCCACGTCTGTTTTTGTATCAAAGAAACAGTGAGCTAAACAGATCGCTGTTAGGCTTCCAAAACACATAAAGAAAAAGATGTCCATCAGCTACTGTCTCCCCGACAAACAGGAGTGTCCAAGGGGCCACCAGCGGCCTCTGTAGGCTGGGCTGACGAGGTTGAAGCCGACAAGGACAGGGTGGTGGCCCAGGGACTAGAATCTGCCCTTGCCACGGGCCGCACACAGCAGCCTGTCTCATGTCCACCTTGCTGCCTCCAGGTCTGGGGGCTGCTCTCACCCAGGGTCGGACCCAAGGAAGGCGGCACCTGCCCCATGCCACCTGCCCAGAGATCTCAAGTGCTCCAAGGGTGGCCCTGCCATTTGGAAGACGCAGTCTTGGACAGAACAGACTTTCTTTGGCCAATTCAGGATACAACACAAACAGAGTGCGGAGGTATCACAATGACAGCACCTGACGTGGGTGCCCCTCCCACTCAGGGCCCCACCGCCCCTCTCCCTTCTGGCTGCTGCTCGGGGGACCCTGTGTCTCTCCTCTCTGCAGATCCCAGGCCCAACACCATCCACAGCCCGTTCTCTTCCCCAACCTCAAACTCCTCGGACTCTGCGTCTCTAGTGCCCACCTGCAAAACCACAGCCATAGGTGGACCCCACTGACCGCCTTCCCCATGACATCACCCAGGCTGCAGGGTGAAGGCCAGTAAAGCAGAGGCCACCGTGACGCCACGGTGCCCCCTGCTCCGCCAACGAGCAGGCTCTCTGCTCAGTCACTTTCTACCTGCAGACTCTTGGAGTGTGACCTCATTCCCGTCACCTCTGGCAAGGGATCCGCAGGGGCACTGCCCCAACTTTCCACCATGAATCTTCAGCCCTGCCTGCGGCCCACACCCGCGTACCCCTCCCCTCCTCCACCGCCCCCTCACGGGCTCCTCCACTCCCCACCCGCCTCCGTCAGGTCTCCCACCCAAGAGTCCCCTTGGCCCCTAGACACGGCGGGCCCCCAGTTAACCCTCCCTTGGCACCCACATCTTCACTCCCACTTACTCGATTGTGGCAGTGGAAGCCCGACCAAGTAAGGAGGGAAGGAAGGAGCAAAGAGGGAAGCAGGGAGGAGGGCAGGAAGGAAGGGAGAATAGGGGGCTGAAAGCGCCCCGGGGGCTGGGCCCTTCGTGTTCCCACCCATCCCTAGGACCCAGCCTGACACCAGAACCCACGGGTGCCAGGAACTGTTTGCTAGATGAACAAGGAAACTTGTCTTCACACAAAGGAAGCCGAAGGGTCCCAGAAGGTAACCGGAGGATCTCAGGAAGAGCTTTTGCTTGGGGTGCTGGCCTAGCCTCTCCTTTCTACCCAGGAGGCTCCTGGAGGGGTGGGCACAGAGCCCACACCCCGCCCCAGGCTCCCCAGTGGGCTCCATCCCAGCCGCGGCCCCTCTGCCTCGGGTCGGGCCCACCTTGGGTTTCGGCTCGTCCTCGTCGTCCATCCTGGCTCCGCCAGCATCGCTGAGGACAGGGCTCAGGAGGGGGGATGGGCCCTGCTCGGCTGGGCCCAGAGTCACCTGGAGCGCAGGGCTCAGGCTCAGGGGGCTCTTCTGGCTGGAGGGAGAAGGCTGAGGACTATCCACGGAAAGGCCTGGAAATGAATGGGGTGGGGGTGGAGTGAGAAATGAGAACAGCGAGACGCTGGCTGAGAACCACCACCGCACAGCTCACCACCTGCCAGACACCGCAGGGGCTGGGCTCGGCTGCTGGGCACTTTCTGGAGAACGTATATAAAGCCTCTATCACACACCATTTTAAACATCAGATGGAAATGAAAGTGGGTTGATGGTTGATGTGTCCGATTTCAGAGACCGACCACAGGTGTCGACCCCCGACCCAGAACTCTGGGGGGCCTTGTTGTTTCTAGGGGCTCCTTCTTGCTTTAGAGAAGACATAACTATGACAACAGTAAGTCTGCGATGCAAAGGCATCGTCAGGGAGGGATGTTTTCTGTGTCAGCGGAGGTTAGAGATACAAGACGTGAAACCAATGCTACCTTAGCTGGAAAAGCAGCGTCTATTTTAAGGCCAAACTTAACAACATTCCTCAAAAAATGGAATCTCATAAAATTGCTCAATTCATGCTATTGTTTGCTAGTTCCCTGAGTTTTTCATTAATGAGAATTTTAGTTTTCTAGAATTATATCCCAAGTAATACTTAATTTTTTCCTTCTTAAGACAATGTTTGCTTTGGATACACAGGTGCCAAGGTCGCAGCCCAGTTCTAAGAAGGCCAACGACAAGGAGTCTTTCACTGCATATTTTATAATAAAGAAATTTCCTTATCTGTTTTCAAAATACTTTCAAAGGTTAATTTCTATTGCTTTTCTATGGAAAACCAGTAATTATTAAGTGCCAAATTTTAACCATATCATTAAAGTAGAGTTTTATAGGGAAAATTTAACTGTTTGAAAACTACTGATGATGGAAATTTACATTTCCAAGTGTATAGTGTTTTAATACTGAAACTAGCATTATTTCTAACCATGATTATCATTAATAAATTGGCTTACCACATGCAGGACTAGAAGTAACTGGATTTGAGCCCCTGGTTACATAAATGCCACCACACCAAGGGACCTCCTTCACCACCCACAACTGGCTTCAAAGCGGGATTCCCTTACACTACTGTTGGAGTCTTCAAATGCAGTTGCCCATAGTGACCGGATCATAAAACCCGAACTTGGTTTGTTGAACCTAGAGCATGTAAGTGTGTAGGCAGATTAGTGTAGAGGAGCTTCTGGGAGAACAGCTGCCACGATCCCTGCCCATGGGGTGGGCACAAGCAACTGAACTGCTAACCCTTCCGTGGGACACGGGAGGTGGAGGGACGGAGTCCTTTTTTCACATTGACAAATTCAGAGACCTGGACAGACCTTGCCCGCAGCCAGCTGGGGATTCCATTATCAATGCTCGCGATGGCAGAGCTGTCCCTTACAATTTTTCACAAGATACATTTAAAACACGAGGAATCATTCACTGCTGTAGGAAACCTAGGCAACATCACCGTGTGCAATTATTAACGACCAATTTATTATAACTTGCTTTTTTATTACACATTTGGTTAAAATATGCTAAGCAACCTTAAAATAATATAAAATTCCTACTTCCCCCTCCCCCACTTCAGACCAGCTTGGTCCTTGTCACTTCCAAAGGGATCAAAGCAGGGCTAGTCCCTGAAGCGTGGATCACGTCCTATGTTGAGAAGAGGCACGTTTCCAAATATGCACTATTTAGGGTTTGGGATCCAGAATCCTTTGTCCCTAATAAGCCAGAATTACATAACGAGATAGTTCTACGTAACGAGAACCCAGAGAAAAGTCCAGAAGCTACTAATAACTTATCTGTTTATTCTTCACAACTGTACTGTTCGGAGTGTAACAGCTAAAACATTTCACATTCGTTGGTCAGGAAAGCAGGCAGGCGTTCACTATTTGACACTGTGTCTTCTGGGGGCCCCCACGGCACCTCACTCAAAGATGGACAGTCCCACAGCCACTCACTAGCCCACAGTCCAGCAGAAACGTGCTGCAAGATCTGACTTTATGGTTGAGCAGCAGGTGAAACGTGCGTTCCCGACAGGAACGTCGTGACGTGCGCTGCCGCAACCACGCTGGGTTCACAGGGCAGCAGATCATCAAGTGCCGCTCCCAGCAGACAGCCCTGAACAAACAGCTCACCAGGGAGGGAGCCCCTTACAACCGCTGCTCATCTGGAATAAACTGCTTTGGTTCTGTGGCGGTTAAAAGTCGTCACTTGATATCATTGTAAATATTATTTCATAAATAATTAACTAAGTTAATCTATTAACTAAACAGATTAAAAAGTACCACAGACTGCCATTAAACATTTCTCTGTTTTTCTTTTTTTTTTTTAAGACACGGGATCTTCCCATGATGCCCAGGCTGGACTTGTGCTCCTGAGCTCAAGCGACCCTCCCATGTAACTGGGACTACAGGTGTGTGCCACAGCGCCCAGCTTACACACTGCCCGTAATCACATCTGTGACCTCTAGCAAACCCCTCAAACCTACTTCAAATTACACAAACATAGATCCTACATGATACAGTAAATAAATCTGTGGTGTGATATTTTTTCAAGCAAGTGGCTGTCAATATGTAATTTTTTTTTTTAATTTTGAGACAGAGTCTTGCTCTGTTGCCCGGGCTAGAGTGCAGTGGCGTCGGCCTAGCTCACAGCAACCTCAAACTCCTGGGCTCAAGCGATCCTCCTGCCTCAGCCTCCCGAGTAGCTGGGACTACAGGCATGTGCCACCATGCCTGGCTAATTTTTTATATATATATATTTTTAGTTGTCCAGCTAGTTTCTTTCTTTTTTTTTAGTAGAGACCAGGGTCTCGCTCTTGCTCAGGCTGGTCTTGAACTCCTGAGCTCAAATGATCTGCCCGCCTTGGCCTCCCAGAGTGCTAGGATTACAGGCGTGAGCCACCACGCCTGGCCAAATTTTTTTTTTTTTAAATAGCCCAGTCTTTTAAAAAAATGTTCTATATTTTTTTTTTTTTTGTAGACACAGTCTCACTCTGTTGCCCAGGCTGGTCTTGAACTCCTGGCTTCAAGTGATCCTTCCACCTCAGCCTCCCAGAGTGCTGGGATTACACATGTGGCCACCACACTTAGCCAATGCGTAAAGTTCCTAAACATGAGGTTGTTGCCTCCACGTTCTGTTTTGTATGAGCCATTGTCTTTGTGCCCAGAAAACATTTTTAGCTGAAGTCACGTATACTCCACGGAAGCAAAACAAATGGGGTCTGTGACTCCCCAGGGGTGCTTTCCAGAAGTGACATATGGCAGAATAAAGCCAGTATAATTCAGGTTCTGCTCTTTTGGACTCTGTTGTAACGTAAAAAGACACCTGGCCTATGGCTCCCCTGCCTTAGAAAATCCTTTTGACATTAATAATATGTATCAGAATGTACGACTTAAAAGGCAGATGTCTTAAGAATCTTTTTTTTTTTTTTTAAGAGACGGTGTCTTGCTATGTCGCCCAGGCTGGAATGCGGTAGCAAGGTCATAGCTCACTGCAGCCTTGAACTCCTGAGCTCCAACAATCCTCCTGCCTCAGCCTCCCTGGCACCACCATGCCCAGCTAATTTTTTTGTGTAGAAACAGGGTCTCACTATGTTGCCCAGGCTGGCCTCGGACTCCCAGCCTCAAGTGATCCTCCTGCCTCAGCCTCTCAAAGTGCTGGGATCACAGCCATGAGCCACTGCGCCCAGCCCTCTTAAGAATTTTTGAAATGCTAAATACCAAGCTTTAGATGCCACAGAATGTGTTTACCCGTAACTGACATAGTAAAGAATTCATCTTCAGTACTTGTGAAAACCGATCCCTGCATCCAAAGTCCTCCACTAAACAGCCAGAAACAATCAGTACTGCTCTGAGTTACAAGAGTCACTACTTTTAAATTCATTCAAACACAACTCTTTAAGGACACACCTACTATACACGAACATGATGCCCAACTCTCCCACTCTGATATCAAGAACAACCAATTTCTTTACCTGCAGATAAGAAATTCTTCAATTTCCAAAAGTAAACTATGTGAAACTGAGAGATACAAGCAGCAGTTATGTTTACTGAGTTCTGCGTTTCTGCCGGGGCGGGTCACAAGCTGTCCACTGGGTGTCCACCAACCGGCCTCACTGCACAAACTGTACTTTGGGAAAGAATGACATTTGATACATTCTCACAGCTGCAAATTGCAAGGTTTGATCATCTTCAAAAGAGACTTAAAATTTAAAACTTATTTCAAACTGTTAACGGTGAGCATCTCTGGCCAGTGATTTTCTTTGTGGCATTCTTCATTTCCAAAATTTTCTCAGTATTCACCTTTTAATTGTTGAAATAGCATTTAAAAACAGCATTATACTTGTGTGCTTACCTTCACTTTTTCCTTCAAGACACTGTTTTCATTCATCTAACTAGGTGATGAAATAGAAATACCACACTTAGAGGAAAAGGTAAATTTACTTTTATTTCATGTTTAAATTCTCTTCTTTGAGATAAATGATTCTTGAAAATACTTGCCTAATAGTGGAGGGAAATCAGCTCCTGTTTGGCAAAATTCAAGGTCAAGCTGAAGTTTAATTTGAGAGTCAGAGGTGCAAGAAATGGAGAGTTTGACTTGAACAATGGACCGTTATCCCAGAAGAAAAGGAAGATGCTGAACTGTTCAAAGGATCCAGGTAAACATGAGCTTGACGCGTCAGCAGAAAACTATCTCTGGCTTCGCTGTTGAACTAGGACATCACGAGTCACTTTTACATAAAATCTGGCTCAACAATCAAAGCGGGAGGTAGAAAACCGGTTCATGACGAGGGTGCCAGTACCAGACCATCTCTGTGTATTTGTGCCCCGGCACCATGTCTACAGCTGGGACGGGAGGGTCTGACGCGCGGTGCCCTCTACTCGGGGCCATCTGGAGCCTAAAGGACGTGGCACACACAGCTCCGGCCAGGGCCTGGCAGGCGCTCAGGGGAGCAGGCTGGGGCTGCCGTCTCGGGGTTCAGAGAGCTGCTTCCGCACACAAGGTGCTCCCAATCACCTTTCCTGGTTTTTCCCTTTGCTTTGTT